TATATATATATATATATATATATATATATATATATATAATATAATATAATCAATAAAGTAAAAAAATGTAAGATGAAGCTGAATTAAGTGCATCTCCAGTTCAGCAGTCTGACAGCTGCAAGGAAGAAGCTGTTTCTGAGCCTGGTGGTCTTGCTTTGAATGCTCCTCAGTCACCTGCTTGAGGGGAGGGGCTGGAAGAGACTGTGTGCAGGATGAGTGGAATCCTTCATGATGCAGAGCGCCCTCCGCCTGCATCGTGAAGTGTAGAGGTCCGAGGTGGTGGGAAGGCTGCACCCCACAGTCTCCTGCGCAGCCTTCCCACCAGAAGATATCTACTTATCGAAGGGAAAAGTTACTTTGAATGTAATGTTTCATGGTTCCTCTGTGAAGCATCTTCTCTTCTTTTAACAATAGTCTGTAAACATCCAGGACCTGAGTAGACCAGTTGTTGGAGGTTTTGTTGTAAATTTTGTCTCATTCTGGTCTGATGGAGGATTCTAGCTCTTCAGCATTCATGGCTCTTATTTGCTATTTTCTTTGCTGGATGGGAGCAGATGTTCTAAAACCTGTACATGCTTCTCTGCATTGATGGAGTCTTTCCAGATGTGTAAGCTGCTGCCAGAGGCATTAATGCATCCCCATACAATCAGAGAAGCAAGCTTTTGAACTGTGTGCGGATAGCAGACTGGACAGCACTTCTCCTCTTCTGTATGGAGGACATGGTGTCCATAGTTTCCAAAAAGATATATAGTTTTTAATCTGACCACAGACTTCACCTCAAACCACCTGAAATGAGCTTTGGTCCGAAGAAGACGGCGACGGTTCTGGATGGTGTCCACATGTGGCTTCTTCTTTGCCTGATAGAGATTTAATCCGTATTTGTGGACGGCACAGTGAATTGTTTGCAGACAATGATCTGTGGAAGTGTTCCTGATGCACTGATGTCCAGAACAGAACCAGACCTGTTTTTATTGCAGCAACCCCTGAGGGCCTGAAGATCACGACCATCCAATATTGACTTTCAGCTTGTGTTGACCCCGTCCCAACATTTTTTAGATATGTTGCTGACTGTAAAACTCGGAATGTCCTTTATTTGTTTACATTTTACACAAAATCTTAACTTTAAAAAAAAATAAATAAATAAAATAAAAAATATATATATATAAAACTTAATTCAACCTTTATTTAAACAGGTAAGTCCCACTGAGCCATGAGGACTCATTTACAAGAGAGACCCGTATTTTAACAAAGAGTGATGACAACAATAGACATTCACAAATGATGCATACAAATTTAATTTTTTTTTTGTTTTGTTTTGTTTTTTACCAGACATTACAGCATGGCCAAACAAAACCCACCAAATAAAATAAAATGAACACCAAGAAGTTATTTTAATGTGAACACAAACCAAAACTACAAAATCTAATGTTCTGACAACGCACCTGTTCTCTGTTGGTCAGGACTGAGATTTATTGTTTCAGTTTTGGTGTAACACCAGGTTTTCAGAGTTCTTCATATAAAATATAATTTCATCTCCTCACAGATGAGTGGAGATCTAAAAAATAAAAATAATCTGCTTTCAGAGCTTCTCACATTTTCTGTGTCTCCTCTCAGTATCACCAGGTATCTGACGACCACTTCATCAGCGCCGTGGTTCTCTCGCTGGTCCTGGCTGCTCTGTTTAGCCTTCTCTATCTACTGATGATCCCTCAGTGCGTGCGCCACACACACCTCACCACCACACGTGCACTGCTCAGACATCTGATCTTCAGGTGTTGTGTTTTTGTCTCAGGGGGGTGCTGGTGCTGCTGCTGCTGGTCCTGTGTGTGTGTTTCCACGTGGCCTGTGTGATGTACCTGCATCTCACCAGGGTCCAGGTAGGACTCCTCTCCTCAGATGTCTCGTCGACACATTTTAAACACAATAACAGAAGAAAAACAGTTGTTATACCACAAACATCCAACCAAAGCCAGGACAGTCATTAGGTTTCATCTTGATTGTCGTTTAGAGCATCTTTGTGGTCATTTCACACCGAGTGCATCACCTCTGTGACGTCTTTATGGTCGTTTTAAACTTCTTTGGGATCATTCTGAGTCTCTTTGTTGTTCTTTTTGTTTTGGTGTGGCTATTGTTGTGTTTCCTTTTATGTTTGCAGTTGAATCTTTGATCAAATGTTCAATATTTTTTCCATTTTCTTACAAATAATTGCTTTGTATTTAATAATCATTGCACCCTTAGTTACACTTATTTATTTATTTTGACCAGTTTCAGTAGCTGCAGTTACTTTAAAGCATTTTCTATTTAAGTGTGTGTTTTTGTGGTTGTTCCCATCAACATTTTTTGTTTGTTTGTTTTGTGGTCTTTTTGTGTATTTTCTGGTTGTTTTGAAACTTTCTATGTATTTGTTATTTTTGTGCATCACTTTGAGGCCATTTTTATTTTGTCTCTGTTGCAGCTTATTGCTGAAATTATCTCACTCAAAAATGATGATCATAATTTTATTTGTTGACAGGGTCTGAATCAGTATCATTTTGTGTTTTTTTATTTAATTTTCTTCAGCTAGTTTCATTTTTATTTTCTGGCCCAGTTTTATGTACTTTCTTTATATAAAGTAAACTGCAAAAGGCAAACTGAGACCGCTGCATCAGCATCACACACCTAACCTTTGCGTGACACCGTGAGAACGCTGTCATCATAACCTTTAATAGAACAATACATAATGAGCCACCAAACATCCTCAGCCTCCCTCATGGTTAACAACGTGTCCAAAATATTATTAAAGTATATAAGCAGGTGATCCGTTGTATCTCTTTTTGTTTTAGTGCCAACCGGGCTGTCTCACCATCCAGATCCGAACAGTTCTGTGCATCTTCCTCGTTCTGCTCACCTACTCTGTTACTCAGGCCTGCGTGGTAAGTCTTCACTGGATCTGTTTTTATATTGTTTTAAATCAAATTGTTTAAAGATGCTAACTCCATTTAAAGGGCTGTAAGGCTGTTTACCAGCCTTTTCTAGCCTTTTGGACCACTCATCAAAAACTCCAACAAAGGTTCAAGAAAACTACCGGTACCTGTGTTTTGGGATCCTGGTCCATAACAATGACCCATCAGTTAAACTGAGCATATAGTAAATATGGGACACCTTTAAATGATGATAGTAAAACATCTACAGATGCACATTAATATGTTTGTTTGTTTACTTAAAGACAGAAAACCTCAAATGTTTGGACAAAACTTGTGGTGTCCCACAAGGTTCAGTTTTGAGGCCAAAACTGTTTATACTGTATTTAAATTGTATTTGCTTTTTTTTTTAAAAAACACCAGTACACACAATATTTGATATTTGTTTATAATAATAGTTAAGTAAAACAGCACTTCAACAATTCTTTTGTTATTTGGTAAGTACATATTATATAAATTATTTAATCTTAGGCTTATTGAAATATAAATGCTCATATTCTTATTAGGGATCTGATTAGTTATGACTAGGCTGTAAGGAAAGACAGGACCAGATAAGCTGTTTGCTTCATCCTACCCATTCTCACACCGTATATATATATATATATATATATATAGATATATATAGATATGTGTAAAAAGAAAGAAAGATAGAAAAAGAAAGAAACAAACAAAGCTTGATGTTCCTGTGACTACAGCTGTATTGATTATTCAGATGGGACACAGGAATGGAGACAACCTTCCTGGATGTGTCCACAAGAGGACACCAAATGATAAAAAGCTAAGCCACAAGGGTCCACGAGGGTGCAAACAAATGAACAGACATCTGATTAGCATCCAGTAGTTGGTTTACCACCGTTTGCTCAATTTACCAATCTCTGCTCATAAAGGGATAGTTCCGATCTTTAAAAGTGGCAAAGAACAGTGTCTTGCTTGCAGTTCTTGCTGAAAGCACTTTGCTCATCCTCAGTTTCATTGAATGGTTTAATACTGGCAGGACTGAGAGATAATGGTTAGACTCAGCACATCCAAAACCAAATGGATTCACTGAACTCCTAAAAGAAGCTCCAGTTTATAACAAATACGTTAAACATTTGCAGGTTGTTTTTTTCACAGTAATTTTGGCAGAAATGTGATGTCCGTGTGCAAACTGTCCTCAGACTGCAAAGGAAGTGCTACAGCTAGTTGCAATTATTTCTTCTTACAAATAACTACATCATTTTATGTAAACTGTCAGCAATGCAAAGTTTTATAAAACAGTGTTTGCATGAAGCAGTATGAAATGTGAGAGACTGACACTTGGAAGCATTCTAAGTTTTGTCCGTCCATTTAGGGACAATCTAGAGTTAACATTTAGCTTAACCAAAAAGCTGTTTTCAACAGGTAAGATATTAGTTGTTCATACACTTGTCACAGAACCCCACTTCAAAACATCTCCCCTGTGGTTGAAAGAAAACACTTGACCTCCCAGTTGATCCAGCTGTTGTATCATTTTTCTCCAGGTGGGTTGTGTCCCGTGGGGACGGGTTGAGATGAACTCCAGCCGTCCTGCAGAGGACAGTCCTCCCAGGTCCAGACCTGCTAACAACGGCACGGTATTGGGGCGGGCTGGTCCCAGTGTGGGGTACGCCCTGCTGTCCTGCGTGGCCGGCACCCTCACCGTGGTCCCTTACCTCCGCGTCTCCTCGCTCCCCAAGATCCTGCTGCTCGTCCTCCTCTCTGTTACCTACACAGTTGTCATGGAAACCAGCGGCTACCGTCAGGCTGTGGGGTGAGACTGCATGTGAGATGGAAAGGATGTGTCTGCTTCAATACACAGAGTTATTTTTGTACCGTCGGGATTATTCTCCCATTATCATGAAAATATGTTTTAATTAGTTTTGAACAAACTTTATAATATTTTGTAGTTCAAGTCAATTATCTTTATGTCAGCCTCTTTATTTATTTATCTTGAGGAGTTGCAAACAAAGCCTCTACAATGCCTTTAACATTTAAAAGTGAAGAATTGCAGAAACAGCCGTGAACGTGCTTCAACCTGTATTTGTTGTGCAGCGGTGGCTTTTTGCACACGCGAGGCTACGACCCTGTTCTGGCTGTGGTTCTGTTTTCTGGAGCTCTGGCTCTTCACTCCAGACAGCTGGACCTTAAACTGCGGCTCGATTATCTCTGGGCCACTCAGGTGAGCATCTGTTTGTGTTTACAAGATGTATTTCATATTTCTATCTTTTTTTATCGTGTATTTAAGAGACTTGATCCCCTGGTCTCTTGTTTGACCCACGAGGCCCAAGTTTTAAAAGTGAGTCCTCGTGGATCATTTTGGCCCAAGGGCAGGATGGTTAAATAAATCAATCTGAGTTATGTTTGCGATGACTCTCAGCTACCATGACACCAAGTTTTAATTCAATCTCTGCAACATTAACTGCGATGGGCATGTGAAAGTTTGCACACCTGACTCTGACTCTGACAGGTCGATGTGTGTGAACGTTTCACTGGAATGATCAGAAACCTGATCAACTATCGGATTAAAATCATTTGGTTTTTATGTGAGGAAAGAACTATGTTTGCAAAACTAAGCAAAATTTGATCGTTTGCATAAATAATAATTAAAAAACAAACTAAATTATTTAAAACAATAATTGTAATAACTGCCTGCATAAAAATAAAAAAGAATACTTTAATAATGGAATGCATTAAGTAAAAGAAAAAATGCAACAAGAGAATAAAAATTAATGCAAAATGTATAAAATGGCAAATAGGCATTTTTCACGTTTATTTATTTGATTATATTTGTTGTTAAACATCGGTATGATAATTTCAGCGTCTACAGAACTCGAGACATTTTTGTTGTTGTTGTTCTATTAGTTAAAAAAAAACAAACATTTGTGTCAGTACATTTGTTGTTAAATATTTCCTACTATCACCGTTATAAGAAATTCATTATTTTCAAGATATAAATGAAACATTTATTGATTTTTTTAACAGTCTGGTTTCTTCTTGATGCTGCAGTTTTTTTTCTCTGGGTTTTGTTTGTTTGTTTGTTTGTATTCTCAATAGATCAAAGCCTGACTTTCTATTTTGAGATACTGGTTGTTTGTCCGGTTTGTGAATCAGTATCTCCCTCTAGTGGTGAAGAGGTGCCATTACATCCATCATTTAAAAATCTCTTGTTTGTTGTTTATGTTTACCAATGGGTCCAGGCAGAGGAGGAGAGAGACGAAATGGAGAAGGTGAAGCTGGACAACAAGAGGATCCTGTTCAACCTGCTGCCGGCCCACGTGGCTCAACACTTCCTCATGTCCAACCCCAGGAACATGGTGAGTCCACTGAGACCGTTAAATGATTTTTGAAAGAAATTGTATAACTATTGCAGTTATACCAGATACAAGGACCAAGGAGAACAGATACCAAGACTGAAGATGTATTTACAGTGTTTATTTACAAAGTGTTAAATCATACAAGGAGCCAGGGAGTGAGCTGGAACCCTGAAGAGCAAGGAGATGATTAATGGCCTGTTGGCAGGAGTGATAATGTTGTTGCTGATCTTTCTTACAATGGGAGAGCTGACCCAAATGGTTTCAGGACGAAGAAGGTGTACATCTGAACAATGACAGGAGACATGCAAGTGGAGGCAGTTGAGGATGCACAGGAGAGTTTGAGGTCCACAGAGGGGGATCCAGGGGTCAGGAGGACATGAGAGATTATTTACTGGAGGCACAGAGAATATACAAAGTCATTAATACTCAGTTTAAAGCACGAGTAAAAAAAGGCTAGCACAGTACTACCATTGGCAGGTGATGCTCCAGCGCCGACTGGACGTCCTCTGCAGCCTTTTGTGCTTCTCATGCTCATCAAGCTGATGGTCCTCAAGTGCTGCTGATTAGAGTTCAGCTGTGGGTGCAGGAGCTGACTGAGCAGAACTCCCACAAACTGTGACAAGTAAGGTGGGGCTACAAGAAGATGGGACTGCTGTTAAAAGAAAGAAGAAGAGGTCAGGGGTGCTTTAAAACTTCAGCACTGTTGTGTGTGTATAAAAGTTAAGAACTTTTCAAACATGAAGACCTCAACGTAAACATGTGTTTAAGCTCAACGTGGAATTATTTATGTTTTCAGTAAAATCTAAATGTGAACATCCAAATAATAAAAATAAAAAAAAACCTTCAGAAACTTTGTTCTCTGAATTCTGCTTCAGTGAACTTGAGCTATTTAGTTTTACTCCACTTTCACTTTTTAGCTACCGTTCTACTTCTCTTAGCTGTCCTGTCGCTACTTTTAACTTTTTGACGCATTTTCTTTGTACTTTTTAGCTACCGGTTTACTTCTTTTAGCTGTCCTGTCGCTACTTTTAGCTTTTTGCTACATTTTCTTTTTATTTTTTAGCTACCGTTCTACTTCTCTTAGCTGTCCTGTCGCTACTTTTAGCTTTTTGTCACATTTACTTTTTACTTTTTAGCTACCGTTCTACTTCTCTTAGCTGTCCTGTCGCTACTTTTAGCTTTTTGCCACATTTACTTTTTACTATTTAGCTACCGTTCTACTTCTCTTAGCTGTCCTGTCGCTACTTTTAGCTTTTTGCTACATTTTCTTTTTATTTTTTAGTTACGTTTCTACTTCTTTTAGCTGTCCTGTCACTACTTTTAGCATTTTGCTGCATTTTATTTTTACTTTTGTTGAGCCTCGATTTGTATCTAGCCTTTTTCTACTTTTAGCTTTTAGCTATGCTTTCGCTGTTTTTTATTAATGTCAGCAAGCCTTTAATTACTTAGCTTTTGGTTTTGTTACTTTTAGCTAATCTATGATTGCTTTTCACTTTAAGCTAGCCTAGTTACGTTTTAGCTTAGCCTTTTGATACATTTAGCTTTTAGCTATATGTTCTTGCTGCTTTTTTTACTTGAAATTTTAAGTTAGCCTCTTGCATATTTTACCTTTTATCTTGTGATTTTTTTTAGCTTATATTTTTTATTTTAACTTTTAGCTATAGCCTTTAATTACGTTTGCTTTAAGATAACTTTTTGCTCCTTTTATCTTCTATTGTTTTGCTACTTGTACTCAGACTGTTGCTATGTTTTAGGTTTTAGCTAGTATTTCGCTACTTATAGTTTTTAGTTGGCATTTCACTACTTAGTATTTTTTGCCTCTTTCAGCTTCAACAAGTCAGTTTGAGGACTTGGAGCATTTTGTGTTTCCATCCTGTTAAAACCAGTAAAGCTGAAGGTTGCATAGCAAACAGATTCCTTCTCTGGTCCTGCAAGTGTTGGGAAATGTCCAAAGCCATTAAGGACAATAGCAGCGCTTCCTTTAGCCTGAACTGTGGAAATCCAAGCTGATCCGCTGATTAATGAACGTCCCCTCCACTTTTCCCAAACATCACTTACCTTTTAGAGCTCTGCACGCTGAAGCTTCATAGCAACAACCTCCAAAACAAACACATCAGGAATGAACTCTTTTACCTGCTCAAATGATGACGAGGTGGTAAGACTGGCCCACGCCCGTCCATTAGGCGCTTCTTTCATGCAATTTTCCAGTTTCCCTGCGGCTCCTGTAAATGACAAACGAGCACCGTGCTGATTGTTAGAATTGTTAATAATAATAATAAAAAGGTCAACAAACACGACAAATCCTGCAACAATCAGCGGGGCGAAGTATCAGACGGTGCAGGGGAGTCAGGAAGTTTGTTTCCCGCACATCGGTGACCCCACAGAGCCGCAGCGTATAGAAAGACTTCCTGCGTTTCCTCTGGGCCAAAGTTCAGCCATACGTTGGATCCAGAACACAACACAGCGGGCTGTCGCCTGCAACTCAAAGTTTCACTCTTCTAACATCATGACTGTAAAAATGTTTTCACAGCATGTGAAGTTTCTATTTTCGTCCATGAATGTCTCGGCCTCTTGAGCTCCCCGTTTGACTCAATTAACTTTGGATGTTTTTTTTTTTTTAGCTCTTTTGGCTCGCTGATCTGAATTAAAGCCAAGCCAAATAAAATTAAAAAATCAGCTCCCAAATTTGACCAAAAACACGTCAAATGTTTAAACTAAGAAATTTGTACAACTTCTTTTAGAAAGATATGCTGAAAGATCATTCTAAATTTAATGGCAACACATCTTAAAGTTGTGCCTGCTGATCAGCCAGTGAACTTTTAAAGGCTGATTTCTGCAAGATGTCAAGACATTTCAAGGTTCGAGGTTCTTTGTCATTCGCATCACGTGCGGTACACGAGGTGGAACAAAACTGTGCACTCAAGGTCCCAGTTACACTTGAATATAGCCAAAATATAAAGTATAAAAAGAAACAGAATACAAGGATCTAAGATATATGCTAAACAATGATAATATAATATAACAAGGTGTATTAAACAGCAGCCTGAACACGAGTCTGTTGTGAGCAGATGGGTGTGAATATATCAGCTTAAAGTAAAAAGTCAGCAGCACAGGTAAAGTGCCAAATCTCCAATTAAAGTGGCATTACAGTGATTATCCTGGTTAGGGATTCATGAGTCAAACAGCTTCAGGGTAGAAGCTGTTCCTCAGTCTAGTGGTTCTACACTTAATGCTCCTCAACCTCCTTTTTGAGGGGAGCAGGGCAAAAGGTGTGTGTGCTGGGTGAGTGGGGTCCTTCATGATGCAGGTGGTCCTCTTCCTGCATCTGGAGGTGTAGATGTCTGTGATGGTGGGGAGCCTGACTCCAACATCTTCTGTGCAGCCTTCACCACTCTCTGCAAAGCTTTTCTTTCTGCAGCTGTGCAGCCTCCATGCCACACGTTGATGCTGGAGCACAGGATGCTCTCCACTGCACACCTGTAGAAGGAGGTGAGGACTGAGCTTCCAGACCAGCTCGTCTCTCAGTTGCATGATGAAAACTACGCCTTTTTGTTGTTGTACCGCCTCGAAAAACCCGTTCTGTGCACAAGCTCCTGGCAGAACCTCTCTCTTGTAGGAATATGTGTCAACTATTGTGTGATTGGTCAGAACTTAGTGGGCATATTTTTTCAGAAAAACAGCTGCAGCTCTCATTTAGCCTCAATGTTCAAAACCCATATTCCTAAAAGGTCTGTTGGAAACTGGGTGGAGACTTGGAAACAGATTTGCAAGTAGCGCTTCTCCTCAATTAACAACAGAATCATCAACTCCTCCATCGTATGGAAATAAGCATCCACTCTGCCAAGCGTGCTGTTGCTGCCTTGTTTGTGGCGTCTGCTGCAGTGGGAGGGGCTTACCAGGCGTTCGCGCTACAGCTTCTCTTGGAGTCCACGTGAAAAAGAACGTCTCACAACCGTGTCCATGAGAACCGGTGGGGAACATCAGGGCCTTTCAGAGAAGGCCCAAGAATTTAGCACAAATTTACATTTTTGTTTAATATTAAATTTTACATAAAATAGAAACATGCATCAAGTTATTTCTCGTTGATTAAGACTTCACTGTCAGGAGAGGAGGTTCAGCTGAGTCTCCTCAGAATCTATCATCCATCCTATTTACCTGCTTCTTCCTTTTCTTTTCGGGTCACGGGGGTCACTGGTGCCCATATCCAGCGGTCACTGTGTGAGAGGCGGGGGCACCCTGGACAGGTCTCAGTCCATCACAGGGACACTCAGAGACAAACGAGACAAACAACCATTCACTCTCTCTCTCTCTCTCACACCTAGGGACAATTTAGAGTTACCAGTCAGCCTAACATGCATGTTTTTTGTCTGTGGGAGGAAACCGGAGCACCCGGAGAAAACCCACGCATGCACGGAGAGAACGTGCAAACTCCACCCAGAAAGGCCCCCGGCCGGGATTCAACCTTGTGACCTTTTTGCAGAGAGGCAATAGCTCTACCAGCTGAGTTTGTTTAATATCTAACATGGAAATTAATCAGTCACAATGGTGATGTAAAGTTGGTGGGACCAAAAACCAGGACATGTAACCCTCAGGTCGTCTTTGCAGATGGTGTTTATTTTCTTTTTCGCCGTATGAAGATTTGTGATGCATTCAATTGCGACCTATAAATGATGTTTGTTTCTCCTTCCTGTCCTCTCAAACCAGCCGCTCGAAGCAGATGAACGCTCGTCCTGAACCTGGTTCTGCTGGAGGTTTCTTCCTGTTAAAAGGGAGTTTTTTCTTTCCACTATTACCTTTGTGCTTGCTCAGGATGGGAGACGGAGACAAAAAGACGATTCAAGCCAATCTGCTGCTTTCTTAGAGAGAGATAACTTTTGCTAAATGACTTTTATAATGTTTGAGAATGTTTCTGTTCAGTGCCCCGAGACGACTTCTGTTGGGACTTAGCGCTATATAAATAAACTGAAATTAATTTAATTTAAATTCGTGAATACCAAATAAAATTGTAGTTTACTTTAAAAAACTGAAGGTTCAATATCCCATGTGTTTACACGGATCAGTTTCAATATTACAGTTTGGTTTCATTACATGATGTCATTTTACAGAAGCGGCAAGTTCTGTGGGTTACTGTTAAATTTCAGTGTGAATTTTTTTTATTACATTTTGTGCTTGAACGCAAGAGACTGGGATGGCTGTGTTGCATGCTGGGTAGTCTTGGGACAGAAATAGCTGGACTTTTTTCAGGGTATGTGTTCGGAAGGGTTGTCCTTGTTGGTTTTTCTGTTCAGTGCTGGATTAGCATGTAAGTTTGTTAGTGACCGTAAAGAAATGACACCATAAGATGTTGCACTTGACGTATAAAAATAATAAAGAACTTCCTGCTCGGCGAGAGCCTGGATAGTGAAACTCAAAGTAAAGTGATTTAATCTGACAAAGACTCCGTAGTATCATTGATTAGCAGTTAGCAAGTATCTACATTATAGCTGAAGGCCAAGCCTAATTCAAGCTATCCTAATTTCTGGACTGTTGAGCGCACCTGAATATAAGCCACGCCCACTCAATTTAAAAAGAAAAAAATATTGTGTACATATATAAGCTGCACTTGTCTACAAGCGGTGGGTGTCTACGTTGTAACAAGATATTTACACAGAAATACCTTTTTTAAACTTAATTAAATATGTACCGTAACATACACAAATACGTACAGTAAATGTTTAATTTTCAGAACAGTATATGGAACACAGCTGGTTAAAAAAAAAAATAATACATTAGCCCTGTTCAGTAATTTCATTGGTTAGATTAAGAAAAAAACTTTACGTCTCAATGAGCCACGAGGACCCACCCCCCAAAAGAGACATGTATTGGGCAGCTAGCACGTTTTGGTGGCATGAAGCTCGTTAGCCCATAAAAAATAAAATAAAAATAAAAAATCCATAAATAAGCTTCAGCATTGTTTAAGCTGCGAGGTTCAAAGTGTGTGAAAAAAGTAGCAGCTCATAGTCTGGTAATCACAGTAACTTTAGCGCACACAATAATGGCTCTATCACAGTCTATTGTATAAATTTGAGCTAAAATGTATAAATCTGTGCATTTATATGGAAATCATTCACCAAACCTGATGCATGTTGTTGTAAACATTGTATCCTGGTAGGTGGTCGGATTGAAAACGTGGGATACTTGGAAATGTTGCAACTTCTTGCCCGTCGAACACAAACAGCCTCACACCCCCACATTAAACCCTACAGCCACTTTAGAGTTAACCTGACGTCATCGTCTGCAGGCATGGAAAAAATAAGTATTTTCCTCGAAGCATCTCGTTGTCTGCTGTTTGAGCGCCCTGTTTTCAGCTTGTTTTTGTGGGGATACAATGCATACCTTTCCTCCTCGTTTTCAGCTGAACTATAAAACCTGACAGCTTATAACTAAACCGTCAAAACAGAAAGCTTATGACGCGTCAGGCCTGCGGGGTGAGGGGGGCCTCGAGGAAAAACCCTCCACAACTTTCCCTCCGATTGATCAACACACGTGTAATTATTGCTGGAATCACAACACACTCTTTGTTTCTTGCTGTATGTAAACAGATTTTTTAAATGGTTCTTATAGAAAACATAAACTTTACTTGGTTTTGAGTAAGACTGGAAGTAAAACTTGGTATAAATGAGCCAAACAGCTTTGCTTTCTGACAAAAATACAGTATGTGAATCAGAGCAGGTTTGCTGCGATGCTCCACGGACTGAAGTGTCTGGTAGAGAGCACAATGCTGTTTCATTTGAGTCTGTCTGAACTGACCTTTGACCTGAAGGGATTTCTAAACAACGCGCTTTCTTACAGGTGCATCTCAAAATATTTAAATATCATGAAAATGCAATTTTTTGGTCAATCATTTCCGAAAATGAAGTTCATATATTGTACAGATTCATTACACTGTGAAATATTTCACGCCTTCCTTTCTTGCAAATTTTAATGATTATGGCTTACAAATTATGACAAATCAAAAATCTAAGTCTCAGAACATTGGAATATTCCACATCCAGCTTCTGGTACCTTTGTCAGTGCGGGCAGGAGCCGAGTCCTGCTGGAAAATGAAACCAGCGTCTCCATGGAGCTCGTCAGCAGAAGAAAACATGAAGTTTTAAAAATGTCCTGGTAGATGCTGCGAGGACTGTGGACTTCAGAAAACACCGTGGACCAGAATCAGCATAGGACATGGACCCAAACCATCACTGTCTGTGGAAACTTCACTCTGGACTTCAAGCAACGTGGATTCTGGACCTTTCCACTCGTCCGTCAGACTCTGGGACGTTGGTTTTCAAATGACGTGAAAATTTACTTTAATCTGAAAAGAGGACGTTCGATCACTGAGAGACAGTCCAGGTCTTTGTGTCCTCAGCAGGTAAGACGCTTCTGATGTCTCTGGTTCAGGAGAGGCTCGACTTGAGGAACGAGACACTTGTAGCTCATGTCCAGGAGTTAACAGACTCATCAGGTTGTGACACCAGGAGTTTACAATATTGAACCTTTTCAAAATTTTCTCATTTTCTGAGACACTGAAATTTGGTTTTGCATTATTTGTAAACCATAATCCTCAAAATCACAAGAAATAAAGGCTTGAAACATTTCACTTACTGTATTATCCGCCGTGCATGTCGCACCGCCCTATAAGTCGCATTAAATCCATAACTATGTCACTTCGCCGTATAAGTTGCATCTATTATGCATCGCCGCTGAAAACCCGGAAATGTGGGCCGGCCAAAAATAGATTGACTGCCGCGGGAGCATGCACGGGAGGATTTTAACAAGAATTTAACAAGAGTAACACTTAAAAACAATTGTTTGTTTGCTCGAAATTATAGCAAAGGTGTGTCTCAGATGAACTTTTACTTAATAAATGCACTTTGACGGTCAAATCAGCTGCATTTCACCGGGGCAGCGCAGCGAAATGAAGCTGATTTGACGGCCGCTCCAGGTGAGCTGAACAATGGTGGCGTTCAATGGCAAACCGATCGTGTCATTAAGAGCCACGTTTTTTTACCTATTACATGATGCAACGGCATGCCATACAACTCGAGTGACATCTAGTGGCTAAAAATGGTAGTGTTCAATATTTTCAGCCAGACTGAATGAAAACAGTCATATCTTAGCCAAAAATTGGTTTATAAATATGGGAAAAATCCATAAATGTGTCGCTTTGGCGTATAAATCGAAGGGCATGCAAATTATGCACACAAAAAAACACATCTTATACAGCGAAAAATACGGTATGTGTAATGAATCTATGTAATAAACGAGTTTCGCTTTATGAAGTGAAAAAAAAAAAGAACAATGTTCTAATTTTTAGACATGCACCTGTATTATCGTATTTTTCGGACTATAAGGCGCAATCTGTTTAACAATTTCATTTTGACAGATTTTTTTTTGAGCGCCGTGTACCACATAAAATCAGTTCGAGGTCAGTAGGCACACCACATCATGAGGCTCACTGTTGATTTTTGAGAAAATTAAGGGATTTTAAGTCCGAAAAATACATTAATACATATTATGAATTGCACAGTAGAGACACATTATTAATACTAATATTAAAATTACTTCAAATTAAAACCCTTTCAAACTGTTTCCTCCCTGCAGGACTTGTACTATCAGTCGTACGCTCAAGTAGGCGTGCTGTTCGCCTCCATCGCCAACTTCAACGACTTCTACATCGAGCTGGATGGGAACAACATGGGAGTCGAGTGTCTGAGGCTGCTCAATGAGATCATCGCCGATTTTGACGAGGTGGGTGAAGCATTTCGCTCCGTTCAACCGTTCGTCTATAAATCACTAGTTCTCATCTGTTTCCCTGCAGATCCCAGGTCAGAATGTCATACTTTAAAAATGACTGAGGTTTTCAATTAAAAAAAATATTAAAAATACACCATGATGTAATGTAATAAGCAATGGTCACGGCTGGGAAACTTCTCCAACATACCAAATGGCTTACAGATGATGTTTGGCTCCCTGGAATCTATAATCAGTGACATGAAGCATTAATTTACACAAACAGGCGGAAAGGGTCCAACTCGAGCCGCGTTTGGATCAGTTCCAGCACAACATTTAGTATTTATTAACTGACAATTTGCTTCAATTTAAAATCACCATTTGTAGTTATGTTGTCTTCCTGTTTTCATCAAACGTCTCCTCATGTTTGCCTTCCAGCTGATGGATAAAGAATGCTACAGGGATATTGAGAAAATTAAGACGATCGGCAGCACGTACATGGCTGCCGTAGGGCTGGTTCCTACGACTGCTTCCAAGGTAAACATGTGGGGGTTATATTTAGATCCTGAGTTTGTGTTTGCAGAGTATGTGAGCTGCGCTATTGAGAGGATTGGTGTTTCAAAGGTTTTAACGCTTCAAAATCCTCTGCGAGGGATTATTGGCATATTCTGCATTCATATTTCATTTAACTTTGGAAAACGGACAGAACGGTTCTTTCTAGCATCTGAACTGAACTGAGTCAGCTGCAGCTGCTGGTTGGGGAAAACCCTGCTGGATGCTTTTTATGGCTTGTTTACATGAGTAATCAGGTCCAAGAAACAGAACAAAAAATGTTAATGTCGCGTCTCGTTTCATGTGAAAGTGTCCTGCACCGATTTGTCTTTCCTTTAAAATGTTTTCTTTTTCCCTCCTCAGACAAAGAAGTCCATCACCTCACATTTATGCACGGTGTCAGACTTCGCCATTGAGATGTTTGACGTCCTGGATGCCATCAACTACCAGTCTTACAACGACTTCGTCCTGAGAGTAGGTGAGTGGCCGGAAGCCCAGACATCACAGGACCTCCTGACCTCTTTTTGCACAGGACGCCGTGGGGAGGCCCATTCCCGTAAGTTTGCCGGGAAAATGCCTCAGAGCGAGCGCGTCTCGTCCAGGAAGCTCGTCACCTGGAGTTCTGGCTCCATTGTGTTGGGTATCCTGTGGAGAGCCTGCGACAGGAGGTCGCGTTGAATCCCAGAGAAACCTGGTGTACACAGCGCTATCCTGTCTGCAGAGACCGTTGTTGGAAACTCTGCAGAAACTTCAACCGAAACTCCAACATGTACAGAAGCAAACCTTTTGAGCTGCATGCTTCTGACAAACCCTTTGATCCAACAGAACAGCCCAGAAAGAGGAGGCACTGCCTGTCATGTGCACAAATATGACAGACTAGTTTCAAATATTTAATCAAAGTCAGAGTTTCTTTATTTGTCATATGCACCACATGTGGTAGAACAAAATGGTGTACACAGGATCCCAGTTACATCCAACAAAAGTATAAAATGTAAAAGAAAAAAACAGTAATAAGGTCTTAGATAAGAACTAAGAAAAAAATGTTAAACTTAAAATACTCTAAGCACTAGTAGTACAAACGATACGCCGAACAGCAGCACGAGCATGAGTCTGTGTGAGAAGATGAGTGTGAATGAACACAGCAGCATGAATAAATCAGCAGCATGAGATCAGCAGATTCATGAGTCTAACAGCCTCAGGGTAGAAGCTGTTCCTCAGTCTAGTGGTTCTACACTTAATGCTCCTCAACCTCCTTCCTGAGGGGAGCGGGGCAAAAAGTGTGTGTGCTGGGTGAGTGGGGTCATTCATGATGCAGGTGGCTCTCTTCCTGCATCTGGAGGTGTAGATGTCTGTGATGGTGGGGAGGCTGACTCTAACAGTCAAACATGCCCAAAACACCTTCCTAGGGAGGCGCACAGGAAGCCTCCTTACCAGATGTCTGAACCACCTCAAATGGCTCCTCTCGATGTTGAGGAGCAGCGGTTCTACTCCGAGTCTCTCCTGATAACTGAACTTCTCGCCCTATCTCTAAGGGAGGAAACTCATTTCAGCTGCCTGTATCCATGATCTCATTCTTTGGGTCACCGCCCAGAGTTCATGACCTGATGAAGAGCTTTGCCTCACAGCTCAGCTCCTTTTTCACCACAACGGACCAGAACAAAGTCCGCAATACTGCAGACGCTGCAGCAATCTGTCCGTCTATCTCACGTTTCATTCTTCACACACTCGTGAACAAAACCCAGAGATAATTGAACTCCTCAACTTGAGGCAGAACCTCACTCTTGACCTGAACAGAGCAATCCTTTCTGACTGAGGACCATGGCCTCAGGTTTGGAGGTGCTGATTCTCATCCCAGCCTCTTCACACTCAGCTGCGAACCGCTCCAGTGAGAGCTGGAGATCACGGCACGATGACGCCAACAGGACCACATCATCTGCAAAGAGCAGAGATGGAATCCTGAGGCCACCGAACCGGACTCCCTAATTCTTAACCACAAATAGTATCTGAATAAAAGTTCAAACCTGCTAGAAAACAGATCTAATATTCTGTGACAGGTTTGTATCTGACCTCCTTTAATGTGAAGTGCAGCAATAAATGTTGTCGTCCGATCACGTGGATTAATATGAAAATCGTTTAAAGTTTTTTTTTCACGTGCATAGACTGAGGCAGTGTGGGCTGTGCTCATTTCAGGTATCAACGTTGGACCAGTGGTGGCAGGAGTGATCGGAGCCCGGAGGCCTCAGTACGACATCTGGGGAAACACCGTGAACGTAGCCAGCAGGATGGACAGCACCGGGGTCCAAGGAAAGATTCAGGTACGCTGCTCCAATCTACAGATAGGACACTTGAAACTACAAGTACAATTATTCATGCTACAGATACAGTACTTTGAACTGCTGGTACAATACCTTAAAACACATTCTTTAAAGCTATAGATATAATAGTTAACAATACAAGTCCAGTAGTTCAAAGTACAAGTACAATACAGGTGTAGAACGTTGAACTAAATGTATATTACTTAGAACTACATTGGCAATACAGTATTAAAAACTATAAACGGCATGTCCCATTCTTAAAACTACAGCTTTGATATTTCAAGTACAGTACAAAAAACTACAGGTACAATGCTTTTAACTACAATTCTAATTTTCCAAACTACAAGCGTACTTCCTAAAACTAAAACTGACTTCTAAAGCCCAGAACTACTTTCTTTTAACTATATATATAGTACTCTGAACTACACATGAAGTTCTTAAAACACTGATATACTTTAAACTGCAGGTTGCATTCTCAAAAACTAGATGTACAATACTTTGAGCTACAGGTACAGTACTCCAAACTATGTGTACACTGTTTGAAAATTAATTTACAGCACTCAAAACTACAGGAATACGTTTTTTTAGTTATAGGTGCAATTCTCAAAACTACAATTAGGATATGTTAAAATACACGTATAGCACTCTATACTACATGTACAATATTTTTAAACACAGATATGTATACTTTTAAGTTACAGGTCCTACACTCAAAACTACAAAGTATATTACTTTAAATTACAGCTAGAATAATCAGAACTGTAGGTATGAGAAGTTAAACTATAACAATCAAAATTTAAAGTACAATAAAACCACATGAGTTCTTTAAACTGCAGGTGCCATACTTTAAAATACAGATTTACTTCAAGTACAGATACAGCATTACAAACTACATGTGTGTGTGTGTGTGTGTGTGGGGGGGGGGGGGGGGGGATGGTCTTTTTCTAGTATTTGAATGTTTTTGTTCAAATTTTCGAAAAACAAACATTTATTAGTTCACAAAAATTGGTACATGATGTGACTTGGTGATTTTAATCAAATTTAAGAATTGCTCCATATACAAATAAAAATCATTATTTTTCGCGTATCCGTATCCTTTACGAGATCCATGTTCCCTAACAAGACTGGGAACCTGAAACCATTTCTAAGATCAAAATCTGTTACTTTGAAAATAATGTCCAAGACAAGATAATTTCCCATCATCTTCCGTTTGTCCTCCAGGTGACGGAGGACGTGCACCGCCTCATTACAGACTACTACACCTTCGTTTGTCGAGGTCAGGTCAGCGTAAAGGGCAAAGGTCAGATGCTTACGTACTTCCTGGAGGGTCAGAGACCAGGGAGCCGTCCGCCTCAAAGCCAGCAGCGTGCCAACCCCGAGCGCCGCTCCAGCGCCTTCTCCCATGGCAGCCTGTGCACCCGGCTGAGCCCCGTCCCCACGGTGACCACCTATTCTAACATCAGGACCCTGAGCCCGAGCGTGGCCCAACCAACCACCTCCACCAGCACCACAAGGTACCTGCCGTCAGTCCCCGCGGCGATGGTGTGACTCTGTCCCACTGCGAGGGTGAAAAACAAGAAAATACGAGCGGAGGCGAGTCGAAGACGTTGATGGAAACAGGGAGAGCGTTCTTCTGCTCTCTACGTGGACTTGCCTCGACGTGGACCTGGCCTCGATGGGACCCTCCAGGTTCACAACGGCAGGTTTGTCTGGATCAGGACACAGGAAGCTTTAGCCACGTTGTCATCAATCAAAGGCCAAGGATGTCTCAGAGTGGACTCTTGAAACTCTTTCCTGGAGGGACGCTGAGTCAGCGTCAGAATCAGAACACACACATGCAATACACAACTCACAGCGTAGCACAGAAGCATCTCACGGCGCCCAAACCTGGAAAATCCTTTTAATCCGTTTCTTTTCAGTACGAGACCAAATCAGTGCTGTTGCCTTAGCAACAACTTCTCATTCGGAGTTTCTTGACACTTTTAGTTGCCTTTCAGTTCCTTTGTCGAGTTGGGGGGGCATCTTTTGATTAGTGGGCCGCTCACGTACGGTACATTTGTGCCCCTGTACTTTGAGTTTTATTTTGTACAAGCCTTCTAAGTGCATGAGGCCACAGCTGCATTTCAGTCCCGTTTGCCGCTCGTTTCCCTGTGATGCTTGACTTCCAGATTCTTCCTCGTCAAAGTGTAGCAATAAGGCGGTTCGTTCCCTTCTTCAGCCCGTTCACTCCTTGCATGCTGTAGCCTGCTGGGTCCACCTTCGACCCGATAGTGTTTGTAGCCAGTAGCTAGCCACACCGGCTGTTATCTCTGTGGAGTTGAAGCATGACTTAGAAAACTTGTTCAGTACTGGTATGGTGTGAGTCCCCCCTTCCCCCCTCCAATTCTCACTTTATTCTGTTTTGTTTTTTTATGTTTAGGAAGAAATATATTCTCTTGTTAAAATATTATATTCTGCTATTTTTTAACGAACTAAGAAAGCTGCTTTTGGTAAAGAAAAGAAAACTTGTATTCGCAAGGAGACACCCAAACCTCTGGTTCTGGCTTCATCAGGCGGATGATTTATTTTATGGTCTAGCATGCTACTCACAGTGTGGCTTACCACAGCCATTAACTCTCCTCTAATCTGTCCCAGCATGCACTGCCTGCAGGCCTGTGGCTCCTACATGCATGCTTTGATGAACCTCTGGTGCAGGCCGAGCAGCAGACACTCAGTAACTCTTTTTTTTACGTCGTCCTCATGCATGCGCTAACGGTAGCGGTTCCTCTTGAATGTAAGGTGCTTTATTGACTCGTGTCTTCTTCATAAGCTTGGTGCGTGATGCTTTACGAGGACAGTTTTTCAGGATCGACCGGGGGAGAGAGGCGTCTCCTCCTCCTCCCTGCTCCTGCTGTAGTCAACAGGTAGCTGTTTATTTATTAATTTATTTTTTCAAATGTGCCAACCTATTTTCATAAACATATCAAACTTTCTCGTGTCGAGCTGTAGCACAACTGAACGCGAGTGGCTACGGTTATTTGTGGCGTTCTCCGTGTTGGATGCCTGTCTTTTTACTCTTTAAGCCGCTCTTTAACGGTTTTATAACGTAATATGAAGTCGAGTGTTGATTATGGGGAGAATAAATGCCAGGCGGCGTGTTGTACCTCTTATATTTGAGATCGATTTCGAAATCTAGTTGCTTGGATGCTTTCTTTCAGGTTTAAAATGAGGATTTTTATACTCTTGCTTTAAACATTTGATGGAAACTTGATGGAAATGAGTCGTGTATAGTATTTTTCTTGTAAATTGGATATTTTCATACTGTACGATACGGGTTTTGATTGTTACATGTAGGTATTACAGGCTATACGTCTTTTTCTGACTTCTATATTATGAATGATTTGATATTTGTCAAGTTATTTTTGTTGAAGATGTATTTATTGAGATGTTTTATGTGAATGTACATTTTGTTAAAGATGATATTTTATACTGTGTTTGCACTGCAAGAATATCGACGTACTTTGAGAAGAATAAAGCCTGCGGGGTCGTGTTTCCTGCAGAAAGAACGCCATTCCTCGTTTTATCTCACGCAGATCACGATGAGAAGACGCTGAACTTTAAACAGAATTGCGCAACAAAAAGAGGAAAAAAACAGCAGCTGATGAATGACGCCGGTGCAGCGCGGAGGTCAATGTCTGCGGGTTGTTGGCCTCACGATGACGACAAAAACATGAAAACACGACCCCGGGGTTTTTATACAGAACAGTTGCTCAAGAACCGACATAACATCAGATACAAGAACTGAAACATGTGGTAAAATAAGTTTATTTGATCCCTTTTGAGTTTTTTTAACTTGACCTTTTTAACAGTTTTACAAACAACACAGTGCTGAGCTCAAAACTTTTAGAAAATGAAAAATAATCTAAATATTTATAGTTTTTTTAACGCTAGGACAATGAAAAAGTTTATTAATCTTGTTTGTTCAAGTATAAACCCCCAAACAATAAAGAATTGGAAAGTTATTTGTAAACAAATGCAAATAATGCTTTTTTAACAAACTAACTTTACTGAACTCGTTTCAGTAATTATGACAACTTTGATGTTTTGACTTCTTTTCTTCATTACTACCGGTACATCCATTCTTGCATTTCGGGCCTAAGACCCAATATTGTTTTCATTACAGCTACGACATGTTGGTTACGTAAACATGTGGTCCGTCACAAATAAATAAATAAAAAGCTGAAACATAAACAAGGATTAAACTGAGATACAGAAACATTTGTCAATCCAAACATTTAATATAGTTCGAAAATACTTTCCCGAAATTAAATTAAGACCTTCAGCTCCTTCTAATTGTTCTTTGTAAAATCTGCTCTCTTTATCCTACTTTTAGCTACCGCACAGCTCCTTTTAGCTACTTTTCAGCTACCATTCTACTACTTTTAGGTTTTAGTTAGCAGTTTTCTACCTTTATCTAACATAAAACTACTTTTGGCTACAATGCAGCTATTTTAACTACTTTTCAGCTACTTTTAGGTTTTAGTTAGCCGTTTTCTACTTTTAGCACTTACGCAGACTGTTAATACTTTTAGCATTTTGCATAGTGTTTTGTTACATTTAGCTTCTAACTAACCTTTTGCTACTTTTAGCTAGTATTATTGAGCATAAACTTTGGTGTTTGGCAGTAGTGGCAGGAGGGCGGGCACCGGAGACCATCTGAGCACCAGCAAACAGTTTTTTTGTTTCACTATGGAGAGTGCTGCTGGTTGAAATCATTTTGTTTGGCGTCGCCTCAGAATGAAGAAGTCCTTTGGATGAAGGGCGAAATGTCTCAGCAAAAAAAAAAAAGAAACCGTCTAGATGACCCGACTGAACATGGTTGCATGTGTGTATCCTTTATTTAACCAGGAACAATAACTCTTGGAGATTAAAAACCTCTTTTCCAAGAGTGACCTGGCCAAGGCAGCAGCATAAAACGTACAACAAATCCAAAATACTAAACAAAATACGCAAAATACATATCCAGGATAAATCACACAATTACACATTATGAGCAGTTACAGGAGTCAAATGATCTGAGCTCTCGTTCCTTTAGAATTTATTTAAATTGTCCCGACGCAACAAGAGATGATAACTTTAAATCCTTCTGCAGAATATTCCAAGTGGCAGGGGCGAAAGATTTAAAATACTTTGTCAGATGATTAAAGCAGAATGGTTGAAACAATCAGGGGCCTTCAGACTTGGTGTGAGAAACACTTTTTGTTTCTAATAAAAAAAACAATTTAAGTTTTAGTTTAGAAACCAGTTTGTCAATATGAGATTTACAGGATGGATGGTTGGATTCTTGCCTGAATTATTGAGCATGAACTTTAGTACTTTTAGCTATAGCTTTTTGCTGCCTTTAATGTTTAGTCAGCATGTTGCTATTTTTAATGTTTAGCCATCCTTTTGCTACTTTTACTATTTACCCATTGTTTTGCTACATTTAGCTTTAAGTTGGCCATTTTTTACCTTTAGTTTTGTTAGTTTTTTCTCAGCCTTTTGCTGCTTTAGCTGTCTTCTTGCCACCTTTTGGCTACTTCAGTTTTCAACTTGCTTTTTGCTACTTTTTTAAGATAACCTTTTACTGCTTTTAGCTAACATTTCACCACTTTTTGCTTTAAACAAACATTTTTATTGTTTTAGCTTCCCAGTGCGTGTTGCTCCGTTTAGCTTTTAGCTGGTGTTTCAGTTGGTTCAGTAAATTTCGGCACAAACATCCTGCACTCATATTTTCACTGAAAATGCAGTTTTACACATCAGGTCCAAACAAACATGTCAGCATTATAAAGTTTTATGGTATGCAGGTGCTGTGTTGTTTATTTTGCCCATTTTTGAGCCCCTCGGTTCCTCGTTCTTCAGTTTTGTTTCAGCAGCTTTTTCAGCTCCCCTGATTTCTCACTCAGCCCACCTGTTGCTCATTAGCTCTCCACCTCAGCTGTTTCTCATTCGGTAATCACCCTTTATTTCACTTTGCAGAATAAAACACGAGTTCTACCACAGAAAGCACCACCCTTCCACGAAGAGGTTAAAAACCACTTCATGTCCAACTTTAGTTGGAACGTGTTGCTAAGGGGTTTAACTTCCTAGGACCTGGCATCCACATGGACATTATAGGAATTAATATGCATGTCATTCAAGAGTTGGGTCTTAATTCAATTCAATTCAGTTTATTTCTATAGCACCAAATCACAACAAAGTTGTCTCAGGGCACTTTACAGAAACATTCACATAAAAGCCAATTAGTAAAGTTCTCTATCTAAGGAAAGGAGGTTAAATTAATTCATTAATGAAATTAATACACTTTTTTCTAACAAGTTTGATTTAGCAAGGTCAATTTCTTATTTTCTTGTTTTCTAAATTAAAACCAACAGCTTGACACTGCAGCCCCCCTCCCCAAAATTCACTTTTAAGTCTGTAATTAAAAAAAAATAAAAACATTAAAAATATCACCGTTTTGTTCAAATGCACCCATTTTTTTAAATTAAGCAAACTTTACACATACCATTTAATCTGGTTTGAAAAATAAAATCTTCACTCAAAACAAACAAATA